ACTTTGAGAAATGTTACTTTTTGACGACCACTTTGCCAAACCTTGTGATAATGTTTCTGTTTTCAATAGTGTTGGTGCATTAAAACATTCAAAATTTTCATAATTATAACTCAAAGATAAATTTGTTACTCCACTTTCTTCTTGAATATTAGCAGGGGCTTCACAAGGTGTTTCATGCTCATAAGAAGAATTACGTTCACGATTCATATTAGTGCTAATATCGATAACTTCATCTTGCGTCATTATAAAATCTAACATACATATAAAATCTAACATAACATTTATTCAGGCGACGACGCTTCATTCGATTTTCAGTTTCCATGAATAATGTTTAAAAAGATATATAAGTCGAAGTTTAGAAATCAAATGTAAGTCAAAGAAAACTTTTAAACTTTATAAAAAAGCTTATTAAGTTTATGAGACACGAAATATTATCACGCCAATGCAGTCTTACTGAAGACGTTTTTAAGACGTTTTAAAGAGTGCTATTTAAAATATTATACCGAAAGTAAAAGATTGACGAACTAAAGACGTCATACGAAACCAAGCAAATATTTTCTTGTCTTTTTAAAGATGTCTTTAAGACGTATATAAGAAAATTTAGATGGACGCCAAAAAAAGGATTTAAAAAGCTGGATATTAAACGTCTTGAAGACGTCTTTCTATGACAAGACCATTTAATGACCTAAGTAAGACGGTCTTAAAGACGTCTTGTGTTTGCTGGGTTGGGTCACCCTGCGTAATTTATGCTCGGTTTTAGAGCATTTTATAAGTGTTTTATCCATTCATTGTTTTGCAAGTGCTTTTGTTTTATTAGTTGAAAACGCTAAATTGAAATTCTTTTGAAATTTTAAAAAATAAATTACACGCTTCATTTGTATTTTGACATATATAATCATTCCAAGTTTTTATTAACATTGATTGCGCTTTTTTAAACTTAAAATGTTTGGTTGATCATTAGAAATAACTTTATGTTAATGTATACCGGGAAATGACCGTTAGAATAAGTCTTATCCCAGCAAACACAAGACGTCTTTAAGACCGTCTTAATTGGGTCTTTAAATGGTCTTGTCTTTGATTGACGTTTTAAAGACGTCTAATTGACGTATACTGATATACCCTTTTTTTTTGGCTAATCTAACCTATCATATGTACATCTTAAAGACGTCTTCAAAAAACTTTTTGGTCGTAAAAATATTTCGCGTCTTTGTAAAACGTCTTTATTACGTCTATTTATGGATTTGTTTAAACATTTTTACAATCCTATTAAAGACGTCATTAAAAAAGACTTTTAACTATCTTTTTAAAGACGCGAAATTTTTCACGGCAACAAAAAGTTTTTTTTATATAAAGTTAAGTTTTACTTCAACCAATATTAATTTTCTAAACCATTATTCCAGCCAGTGGCGGAACTACTGGACGCAGGACCCTGCGTTGCGAGGGGGCCTACCAGCTATAGGGAGCCCTCATATAAAAAAAGTTATACTCTAGTTATACTATAAAACTCTTATATACTATAAAACTCTTATTATACTATAAAACTCTTTTCCGCAAAAAAAACATTCTTTTGCGAGGGGGGGGGGGGGGGGGGGGCCCAAATTTTGAAGTTCCGCCACTGATTCCAGCAAAAAGATTTATTAAAGTATTATTATGGAAACTGAAAATCGAACGAAGCGTCGTCGCTTAAATAAAAGTATATTGGATTTTATTATGAAATTTGAAGATGAAAAAGATGAAATTAATAATATTAGTACACCTGATTTGAATCCTGAACTTAATGCTTTTTATGCTGAGCCTGAAATACCTTTTGTACCTTTGGTACCTTTTGAAGCCCTAAATAATGATTTAAAAGAATGCGGAGTAACCAGTTCATCTTCAAGTTTTAGATATGAGAACTATGATTGTTATAATGCATCACTATTGTTGACAACAGAAACATTATCAGAGGATTTGGCAGTGTGGTCAACGAAAAGCAAAATTTCTCAAAGTCTTTTAAACGAACTTATAATGATTCTTAGAAAATATGGTCATTCGGAGTTGCCAAATGATGCAAGAACCCTTTTAAAACCCTTTAAAGTTGTTAAAGTACATAAGAAGTGTGGTGGAACTTATGCGTATTTTACTATTGCTGATAGCTTAAATTATTTTATGAATACAAAAAATGCTTTTCAAAGTACCTAGTTATCTATTACTATTAATGTTGATGGACTACCTCTTTTTAAATCTTCTAATCTTCAACTATGGCCAATACTTGGTCTAATAGAGAACTATATTTTCATTATTGCACTTTTCTGTGGAGATGCTAAACCAAACTGCTTAGATGATTTTCTTAATGATTTTATTAAAGAATTTTTATTGTTAACTAATGAAGGTTTTTATTATAATAATAACAAATTTAAAGTTACACTAAAAGCATTCATATGTGATGCACCTTCTCTCTGTTTTCTTAAATGTATACAAGGTCATACAGGATATTACTCATGTGAACGATGCCAAGTTAAAGGATTATACGAAGAACATAGAGTTGTTTTTATTGATAACAAGCCATCAAGTCCGAGATTAACTGAAGAGTTTAATACTTTTGTGTACACTCAACATCAAAAATCTCTTACTCCTTTAGCTCAACTTGAAATATCTTGCATTTCTGATTTTGTTTTGGATTATATGCACATGGTTTGTCTTGGTGTAGTAAGACGCATACTTACCTTTTTAAAGTCAGGTCCAAAACATTGTAGACTTTCAAATGCCCAAATAAAGAATATATCTGATAATCTGTTAAGCTTACGTGGCATGATGCTATCTGAATTTGCTCGACAACCACGTTCCCTTTTGGAGTTAGATCGATGGAAAGCTACAGAATTTAGACAATTTATTTTAAAAACTGGACCCTTAGTTTTAAAGGGTGTTGTTAGTAAAGAAATTTACAATCATTTTCTAACATTGCATGTTGCAATGGTGATTCTCTTAAATGAGGACAATCGATTTAGAAAGCATTATTTTACAGTCGCTAGAGAACTATTAAATTATTTTGTTATAAATTCAAAATATTTATATACAAAATCATTCTGTGTTTACAATGTTCACTATTTACTTCATATTTGCGATGATGTTGTTAATTTGATTGTTCACTAAATGACATATCCTGTTTTCCCTTTGAAAATTTTATGCAGACATTAAAAAAAGCAGTAAAAAATTCAAAGAGTCCTGTTGTTCAAATAGCCAAACAATATGAACGAATACAATCTTTATTAAATACAAAACCTCGAAAACTTAAAATTTCAAGTAAGCAGAATATTTCATGTTTTTACATAGAAGAAAATCAATTTTGTTTTGTTGATGAGAAATTATCATCTGGTTTTTTTAAATATAGAATGTTTAGATTAGATTTACAAGATGATTTATATACACAGCCTATTGCGTCTAAAACCTTTAAAATTTTCTTTATACCAAATATTGATGAAATTCAAGTAAAAGTGGTTGAGTTAGGAATGGAAAGTCTTCTTCAAAAAGTTGTTGTTCTCCCTTGGAAGGAAGGTCTTGTTTGCTTTCCTTTGTTGCATGAAATAGAACATTAATTGAAATCTTTTTAAATAGAAATTACTTTTGTTGAAATATTTTATGTTTATCCTGTTTTATTAATTTTCATCTTGTGACCAAAGTTTAATACCGAATCTTATACTGTAAATGATATATATATATATATATATATATATATATATATATATATATATATATATATATATATTTTTTTTTTTTTTTTTAATAGTAATTCATAATTTTTTCCTTTTAAACTTTAATTTTAATTTAAGACAAGTTAGCGCTCTTCCTCATCATTATCACCGTAGTTATTAACCTAATGGTTTTTTTTATTTCTTTTTGTTGCTTTATAAATTTTATATATATATATATATATATATATATATATATATATATATATATATATATATATATATATATATATATATATATATATATATATATATATAAATGTATGTTTTTGTTGCTTTATATATATATATATATATATATATATATATATATATATATATATATATATATATATATATATATATATATATATATATATATATATATATGTTAATAGTAATTCATAATTTTTTCTTTTTATACTTTAATTTTAATTTATTCCTCTTGTTTGTTTGTTACAAGGTTATAATTTTAAAGAAAAAGATCATCTTTGATTGAGATTATTGTAGCTTCATTTAAAAATTTATTTTAATGCTATTATTGAAAGTTTTTTGAACTTAAAGAAAATTAATCATTTAAAATCAGTAAATAAATTAAAAACTTAAAATAAAAATGAGGTAAAATTAAAATCATTTGTCTAAGAGATTTAATTTCTATAACATTGCTTCTGTTGCTTACAAAAATTAAAAAATTTAAACAGCCCAGACAGTTATTTTAATACCATTTTTTTTAAATCTTTTTTTTTGTTTGTTTTGTAAATTTCTTGAGACAAATTAGCGCTCTTCCTCATCATTATCACCATAGTTACCTAACCTAATAGTTTTTTTAATTTCTTTTTGTTGCTTTATAAATTAAAAGACAGTTATCTTTTTGTTATTGAAACTTATTACTGTTATTCCAACTTATTGTAAGGACTATTTTTTAGGTTTTAAAGTTTTTTTAGTTTAAACCTTAATGTAATTTTTACACTATGATTTAGTTTTACACCATGATTTGGGCAAGAGCAGTTTGGATAGAGAATTATGAGGAAATAGAAGATGTTGTGCCTAGAAAGTGGATAGATACAGAAAAAAAATTGTTATTCTGGCCTGCAGGTGTATCTTATCGAAGAGCTGTTAAAGAAGAAATGGATGTGGATGAAACATGGAACAAATATAAACTTATTAAAATTAAATTTGAAAGTGGTATGAAATTTTCACACACAAGCATACATTATATACTGGCAATATAAATGATGTAAAAAACTGCCAAAAATATCTGATGTTTATATTGGATTTATAATAGCTTTTATT